ATCTGAGTATACCCGTATCTCAATCTTCGCTTTTTCAACATCCTCGCAAGATCAATGCCGTCCATTCTTCCAGCGGTAGGGGCAATATCCATGTACTTGGAATCCCGCACGACAGTCGACGCATATCCCAAAATCTCCGGTCCGTGAACAAAGTGCGTGATAGTAGCACTCGCCAAACCTCCCAGGAGAAGTACAATACAAGACAAAATATACAGGCCCATCCATATACCAGGGACGTGGAAGACTTCCACCAAGGTCTCAACGTCGACACCAACAGTGACATTCGGCTCAAAGACGGCATTTGCGTCTACGCTTCCACTGGGGGCATTCGAGAAAGCTTGGCTGAGGAAAACGTACGAGTTGACCAGCTGCGCAAGCCGGTAGCCAAAATCCTTGGGATCGATGCTAGCCAGCTCCGGGGGTGCATTTGCACCAGTCATGGTGATCGAAGATGGGTTCTCGAGGTAGTTCAAGGAAATATCCGACGTGTAGCTTGAGCCAAAGTGGTTTGTTGCTTGAGGCAGTTTCCGCGAGACGTAGCGGAATACCCGCGTAAAGGACAGCTGGGAGATGTTTTCATCGGCGTGGGTCTTTTGAGAAGGACGCTGAGCCAGGACAGTGCAATTCTGTCGAGCAGTGGAAGTGGAAGAGTCTCGCGAGCAGTGAACCCTCGACTCCACATACTTCTGTGTGACGCCGCAGCGAGATGTCGTGTAATCGGGCGCTCCATGGGAGTCGGTCTGCTCTCTCGCTTGGAAGAGCAACGTCGTCCGGTTTGCCACCACTCCCTTCTCATTAGCAAACACGTCGGGACGGTCGGAGTCCTCCAACTTGAGCCCGCGCTTAGTGTACGTGTCGTAATCGTTCCACTGCGCGTCGACAAAGTTGTCCAGGGCGAGATTCCATCCTGATACCCCATCTGATGACGTTGTCTTGTTAAGATTCCAGCCTTGCCATGTGCCGTTCGCGACGGTTCTGCAGCGGTCGGACATGCAGAGCGAAGTTTCGTTAAAGATGACTGCCGTCGCGTACGAAGCACCGGATTGGGTGTTGTATGAAAAGGCTGAGACGCTGATGTTATCGCATGCGAAATGCATGTAGCTCGACTCGACCGAAAGAGTTGAATTTCCTTCAGCAATGTGCGTGATAGGAACGCCGACGAGAGATGAGAACTCCATCTCCTCGTCATTTTTTGGAACGTCTTGCCACTCTGCCGTCTCAAAAGTCCCATACGACGAGAGCGCTGGGACCTTGACGTTTCCCCAGACATCCATCGAATCACTCTTTACAGCGTCGGGACTCAGAATCAGAGCATTGTACATGGCATTGACGATGGATAGCCGATTGATGTTATATGCGTAGCTCGTTGGCGAAGCCTCTGACCAGGATGCGAACTGGGACCGGGCATCAGTGTCGAAGTAGACGACACTTGAAGGTGCAATCACATTCCGAAGCCGAGTTTCGAGCATGCGCAAGACGGATTGGCCGCCCAGAGGCGAGAAGATCCAAATTAGAGCAAGTGATAGGGTCAAGAGGTTGAGGGCCCGAAGCTGAATGTGAACCAAGAGCGTGCCGCCGACGGTCCGGCTACCCATCAGTTGCTCCAACGCTCCCATGGTGGCGCCCCTTTCGAGTTTCCAACGGGCGATTTGGGACATGAGACGGCCTATGATAGCCGCGAAGATTATAGGGAAGAGGGTCGCAAGCTGGAACAGTCCTTGTCAGTATTGTGCTGTCAACTGGGAAACCTGAGGGATGAAGAATACATACGATGGTGACCGCATTTCGATATCGTCCAGCAGAGGTCTCGTCGGTCTCCTGCCCATTGATGCTCAACACCAGAAATGCAAAGACAAGAAACGCAACCGGGAGTACGACAGCAAAGACATCAGCCAGGATCACGAACGGCGTCCAGCTAACCTTCTGGAAACCATATGCGGTTTCACTGCCCTTGCCGCTGTCACTGCGGGCTGTCGTCGAGTTGCCGTCATCCGGGCTCTGCAATGGCTCGCAGACCGAGCCGCTACGACTAGTCTTCTCTCGAGTAACAGGTTCTTGGAGCGTCTTCCTCGTTGTGTCTCTGCCTTCGACATCTAGATTTGCGATCAAAGGACGTTGTTCCCGTGGTGCGTCTGGTGAATCCATCTTTACCAACCGAATATCAACTCTTGCAATTGTAAACGAGGCATCTGCACAGCAAAATGTGTTGACAAAGGTGGCAAAGATCTAAAATTTGTAGGAGGTGCCATTTTCTTTTTCAGAGCCGGACTCCACTGAATAGGCAACAGAATTAAAGAATTGGTGAGAACCTTGGAGGTGTAAGACGAGGAGGAGATCATGCATGAAACATTGCGCTAGCATCACAAACCCCTGGCCAAAATTGCCAAAGACGGTCGCCTTGGCGCTCGGCTGAAAATTGACCACCCTGTTCGTGGTTCCATCGGCTAAGTGAGCTATGCTTAAATTGGCGACTTGCAAAGGATATGCTGACGGGTGATTATACAGATTCAGGTTTAGAAAGACAACAAGTCTAGCTCTGAGCCCGAGGTTGACGGGCAGGAACATGAAGAACGGGCGACTCCGACTTGGATAACTGACCTGGATCTGCGACCTCATCAGATGGGCTGTCCAAAAATTCAGAAATTGAGAAATGAAGAAGACAATAACCCTGAGTGAGTCGCCTCTACGAATTCTTTCGACTCACCTAAGATACAGAAACTCGTTTGCGGAAAGCTGGTACCTGAAGCCTCTTGCCAATGCCAATTCGCCAAGACACTCGCACGCACACGTCTATCCATTGATTTGCAGAGAGTGGAAATTAAGTAAGCACTTAGTTCTCGTGGCTTTTTATACAGCTGCTAAGTTTCTTGAGCGATAAAAAGAGTGTTAGGGATAAAATAATGATCGACTAAGTAGTAACAGGAAGTAGTTCAAAACCAAGTGGATAGACTAGTTTCCATATCCGGCAATACCAACGCCCCTCAAGCGTGTCAAACAAGTTTTAGTTTTCAGGAGCTCGTTACTTGCGACGACTTTGTAGCTGCGGTGCTGAGATGCCTCCTGAGAGGGAACCAAGTGTTAATTTATGGAAGTCGCATCTCGAGACGGTCCGACAGTATGATGTATCCATTGGGATAGCCTGTTGAACAAAGAATACTTGTTGACTGAGCCCATTGTACGTTTGGTATGATCTTGTATTTCTTGCTTGTTTGTAACTACTGGGTAGCCAATTCCTCTTGATACGGCCTTGGTGGAAATATCACCAAAGTCCTGACTCCCCAGCAAAACGCCTAACTGTAAAATGTGATGTAGGAAGTAACGCAAGGCCACTCCATGCGAGCCAACCAGCACAGTATCAATTGCTCGCTCTACCACTTCCAATACCCAACGCCGAGAACAAAAGGCTTGTTCACACCTCACCTCTCACATAGGCTTCGCCGCAAGCCACCAAACCCGCTGTCCCTTACTCCTCGATGAGATCCTATCCCCCCTCTTCCACAACTCCAACCCAAAGTCCTCATACGGGTGAATAGACTCATCAGTCAACCCAAAATCCCGTAACTCCGGCGCCCAGCTCTGAATCTGCCCTAACACAGCCTTAAGCAGCGCAACAAACGCAAGCCCGTGGCCCCCGCCATCAGAATCCCGATGCATAGTATCAAAGTCCATATCGCACTTGTCTCTCCGACAAGACAACAGCAAAAGGTAGGCGTGCACCATTTCGTGAACAGCAACCTGCACAATCTCCTTGAGTGGCAGCGGCTTACCGGTACCGGTACCTGTGGTGGTAGTGGTGGTGGTGCCGTCATCGCGGTGGCGGACCGTGCTCAAGCGGATGACGATGCTAGGGCCCCCGGGCTTACTAGTCCGAAGCGGCTGCGTCCAACCCACCCTACCCCGCGTTTGTCCGACTTCGAGAAGGACTGGGTGCGATGCGTGGTTGATCTGGGGCGTTGGGAAGAGAAAGCCCAGGAAGCAGAGCTCGTCGATGGCTTTCATGAGGGAAAATATAGTGCTTGCCGAAGTGACTTTTGGATTTGTTTCGGCGCCCTTGTCGACTAAGACGCGGGCTACGGTGTTCCTTAGTGACTTCTCGGAGGCGGCCCATTGAATCGGTCCTAGCATGCTTTCAGATAGAGTGATTGCAACATCGTTAATGTTGTAGGACCGCGGTTGCGGTAAGCTGTCATGTTGATGCGATTTCCGTGAGTGATGTTGGCATTGTTGTGGTAGAAACCTGGCCCGCTTCGATTCCGCCATGTCGAGTTTTGCCATAGTCGGCGGTTGGGTAATCTTCTTTTCCCTCTTGTCGATTCCCAGAGAAACGTTTCCCATCAAGCTGTCATGTCGCAGTCATGTTTGTTTTGTAGACACTTACTCGCCATCTTGTCGCGACGGCGCTTGGATGCGTCTGTTTGGTATAACGGTCAACCGTCTCGGGCCTTGCGGCCCAAGCACGGCTCCCCTCACCTCAGAGCGTTTACCAAGAGAGGCGCATGGTTTCAAACGGGGGGCTCGATCAGCCAGTTTTCTCATCGTCGGCGACGTCGCAAAGTGAAAAGGGAGTTTTGACTGCCTCAAAGCGGTGGTTGAAGCCGTGCTGCCGTGGGCAGCAGTCCGCGAGGCTGGGTTGGAGCGAACGAATGATGATGTGACAGCGTGGTAAATTTGCCGTGCTAGCCAAGTTTTGGAATAGCAAATCTAAATGAAGAGGTTTGTAGAAGGATGGATTACAATGTCTTATGGTAGTCCTTCCGCCGACCCATGATAATGCACCTGTATAAACCCGATGTGGGCAGAAACACCGCCCAAGATTGTATAGTAGAACACCGTCGCCATGCTTAATATGATTTCCCACCCGATGAGACCGTCTCGCCGTAAGATCCAGACAAAGAGAATAACGTGCTATACACATGTGGGAGACGCATTTCGGCATCCCCTAACGTATGACGGGATGGCCTGATGTGGGGTGTTGTCGTAACTCAAGACAACAATTCCCCCTCGGTCATCAGTACGGGCCCAGTGCCCGTCGTATGAGTCATAAAGGTTTCGTTCGTGGGCAGATGATTGCCTGCTAGAAACGTAGTTGCCAGGGAAGAAGAGCCGGCCACGTGTCTCGCGGATCTCGCCTTCCTCAAGTGGCTCCACTTCGTCGAAGTCTTCCTCAGTCGTCGTTATGGTCGTGGATGTGGGACTGCTCTCTCTGCTGACTGGAAAGTACTCGCGATGGTCATTGATGTGATACTCCCATCGTTCCTGAGATCTATATCGGGACCTCTCGTAAGTCTGGTTGTCTTGGTATGTATGGTGACGGGGGCTGAGATGCTCTTGAAAGGCGGGGAAGTTGTGTCTGCAGGGTCTGCTCATATGGTGCATTTCGCCTTCAGGAAAGTGATCTTCGTCCTCTCGGAAGTGATCCAAATCCGCCTCCATGTTCCGTAGGTGCAGGTTATCCGGCCCAGCCCAAAGATCGATGAGCTCCGCAATCCGCCGGAAGCCTGCGGTATGTCCACCACATTGACGAGCCTTGACGCCACATTTGATAAAAAGATAGCTGTGAATGAGCTCATGTAAGAAGGTGGAAATAAGAAGTCGTCGATTGTACTGCTTGTCCTTCAAGATTGGGTTCGACAAGACGATAAGTGTCTCAAAGCCTCCCATTTTAGAGCGTCGAAGGGCTGTGGTGCCGATGATGTGGTCCCTGTACTGGGCGCTAGATGCGTGGGACCAATCCCAAGTGACGCGCTGTGAAAGACTGTTGTGGAAGAAGATCTCGTTTGCGGCGGAGAAAATGCTCTCCAGAGCATCGTTGTCGATGGAGAACTCAGCACGCCGAGATCGTGGTCGGATGAGTGATCTCAGAATCCGTTCATGCTGAGAATCCTTGGTACGACGCCGGCCAAGCTGCAGCCGATCTTCTACGAGCCTAGCTGCGACATCGTCGTCGAGGAGCCTCAGATCGTCCTCGTTGGCGGCGCTGTAAATGTCTGTATCGGAAGAGATGGACAAGCCAGAGGCGGTGCGCTCCATTTGCAATGAGGTGACATCGGCTTCGGCCGGCTCGGGCGTTGGCGATGTTTGCTCTCGGATCACTAGAAAGGACAGGTTCTGGACGGGAATCGATCCCCGCGGCGGCCAAACGGGATCCAAGTCTGAGGTGAAATGTGATACACGAGCCCTTTTCTGGAAGGGCACGTCGTCATGTGCGTACTCATAGTTGCCGTCGTAGATGTCGCGCTCATCGGCGTGACCAATTCTCCTTTTGCCACCCAGAACGTAGAGATTGGGATTGAGGACGTGGCCCTCACCTTGGGAAAGTGGCCTTGCCTCCCCGCCAACCACCCAAAACGCCATTGAACATTCTTGAAATATTGCAAAATGGAAGAAAAGGGCGAAATTGGTGGGAAAAGGCAAACTTCGGGAGGACGGAGGTGTAATGAAGTGTGGCAGTCCGGGGGGTGCTCAAGGTGAAATACGGGCGACCACTGTTGGTCTGGGCGTCATGTGCGCCGGAACCGCATTAAAGAGGCCGGTGGAGAAGGATGCCCGGCGCCGGCGGCTGGAGGTTGCGTACGGCAACTAACGAGGAATGGATAGCTCGGGAGGACCATGTAAAAGAAACGAAACAAAGGTTCAGTTTCGAGGTACGACGAAATGAGGCGAGGACCAGGCACAGCAGAACGATTTTTCGAGCCAGTCTGTTCTGCTGGACAGACATAGCTGCATGGAGAGACCCAGCTCAGGGCAGGACAGCGTTGCATGGCCCGTCTAGGCCCCCCTTGACTTGCTCATCTGCAGAATCCCGACCAGCGGGACGAGGGCGACTCGAAGCAACCGAGAAGTTTGGGTGGACGGGAGCCGGGCAGCGGACACCGTCGTACAAGCGGTGTGAGGGAGCTAAGACGGATATGCGTGTGCGGCGTTGCGCATCGCAGATTTAGTGCGAGGTCCATCGCTGCCATCCCCCGACCAGTGCAAGGAACGTGGCGTTTCCAGGCGGATTGGCGTTGGAACTCGACGAACCTACACAGTAAGCTCTGGGTACGGATAGACTTCCCAACCTTGTCCACCGCTGCTATTGCCCGCCTCAACTGTGAGATGGTGCTTGTCAGGCGAGACACTGATAGTGCGTGCATGCATATGATAATACAGCAGGGTAAGGTTATGCCGCCGTCTCGACTTATGTGCAGCGATAGTAGACAGACGGTCAGCTCGACCGCCTCTCTCGTCCTTTCTCACCCACGGTGCAAGGTAGGAGGGTGTGGAAGTGTATCCGAATATTGCCCTCTGCGTGCGTGTATGTATCCGTAGGCGCCAAACAATGGGAATTACGAGTCCGCCCCAAGTCGATGGTTCGCCGACTGCACACGGGATTGGAAGAGAGATCCCAGGTCAAGGCATGCGAGGGCGGTGGGGTTCGTGACAGGTGGGCGAAGCTGTCGGGGAGGAGGAGGCGAAAAAGTCGAGGACGAGGGAGCGGCCGTGTTTAGCAAGATCTGGATTCGGCAAAGGGGCTGGAATTTTGCCGCCCATGATTGGTTCTGCAGCTTCGGACTCAGTCGCTCATTGGTTGCCTCATCTCCGTGCATCTGTCCCTCCCACATCGACTCTCGTCGCCTCCTTTTAATGAGGCTTTCCAACCCTCGGGTTTTCAAGAAATTGCCATCCACTGAAGCAACCGCCCAGCCGCTCCTTTGCTGTATCTGCTGTCGCTAACTTGCCAACTTGTTCATCATCCATGATGGCTCGGCGAGACCCACGGAACATCCTCCGATGCAAGCCCAGTCGGAGAGCAAGGGAGAACGTGACCGGGAATCTGACTCCTGCACCTCGTCCAGTCGGGCCTGCGTACTGCATCTAGACAACACTCCTTGGCTGCGCCGCGCCGCGCTGCTATGCTATGCGATGTGTTTGCGATGCACCAAGGATTCCGACTTATTGTTGTTGATGCAGCGAGCAACAAAACAGCGACTATCCAGGAAACGAGGGTCCAGTTGATTGACAGCGGCATTTGCTGGTGCATACGTGACACTTGGGGACGAAACGATGCTTTTCGCCCTGTCTTCGTCAGGGATGTGTCCCGGTTGTTGAATTCGGTGCCGATCTTTGCTGTCTCAGCCGGTATTTTTCAGGATCTTGCTTGCTCGCCTCCCCATCCTATCCAAGCAAAAGTCCAAGTCCAACCGAAGGACGATGTGATCTCGCAATGCTGGCTTGTGAGGCCCGCAACACATTGACTACGTGCGCCTGTCATTCTTGATTTTTCGGCCTCTTAGGCTCGGACGAGACAAGCACAGACTGCGGGCAGGTCGAACTCTATCTGCTTGACTCTTCTTTGCAGCTTCGACGAGACTCCATGAGACCTAACTATATCCCGACTTCCCCTCTTGGTAAGAGTGGAGAAATTGGAGCTCTTTGTCACTTCGGGGGATGATGCTGTGATGCCGTCCCATGAACATTAATTCGATGAGGGGGTGTGTTTCGTCTGCCGTCGATCGGTTGCGCGCTAGCAGCTCGATTTCCACGATCAACAGAAATGACAACGTACGAATACTCCGCCAAGGTGAAGCTGATGGGACGCAAGGCAAGCTTCGACTGATGATCGTGAGTTGGACACGGAAGGCCTCAAAATGGTACTCCATAGATGATGGACGGAGGGATACCAAGGTCTCGGGTGATGCGTTGCCGAGGCACTAGGTGGTCCCTGACGGACCCTGAGAATGTTGCGGCGCTCAGCTCGTCGCAGATCCTGGAATACCTTCATCGACGCCAAGATGTAAGAGCTGGTAGTAGTGAATTCGGCCCAGACATGCCGACACACGGATGATGGAAGACAGAATCAAAGCAATGGCCATCTGGAGGCTGGCTCGCCTTGTCAAAAGGAGGAAGTCCGACAGGGTCCATTGGCAGGGGTTTGTCGTGGACCACTGGGCACCACCTTATCGCTTATCTTTATCCCCTATCGCCGTCTTTAGCACTAACGTCCTTGGGTCTAGGCCCTCGGCAAATAAATGGGTCTGTGAACAGCTCGGTCGTGCCTGCTTCATCTAACGACATCTCGCTCCTTCCTTATTTTTGGTCGTGATAACTCGCGTTGCCCGCGCGCGACAGGCGTTCGCACACTCGCCAACAAACCTCCCAAATATTCATTTTTGTTCCTATGTCTGGGCGGGCTTCCTTGAGCTTCATAGTTTTTTTCTATTCACGGTTTTCAAAAATACACTGAGAAGGCAGCGCACGTTAAGCCCAGGCCAGGCTCATTTCTGTCTTGGGATTTTATCCTCGCTCAGCTATGTAGATACCTGTGAGGGATCTTGTACTAGTAGTGCCATCCATTTAGTCCTGTTCAAATCATTTAGTTTTTCATGTCTATCTCAAGTCGCAAAAAGAGTTCCTCTCCTTGATCCCATTCGTGCATTCATGGTTTGTCAGTGGCCAACGGATTCACTTAGAACCAATGATTGCGCAATTGAGCGTTGCAAATCGATTCGTTGATAGACCTGGGGTCTTCTAACCATTCATCATAAGGTAATGATACTGCTTCTTCTGGCTGGGATCGTAAGCAGAAGAGGGTGTCGAGGAAATAGCAAGACTGTTCAAAAATGAATATTGGTTGTAGGCCCTCCGCTTGAAAGGTGTAGAAGACGTCGAGGCCGATCCTCATGTAGGCTAAGGATACGTTACACTAAACGGAGTAAACCTCAAATATCTTACAACAAACAACGACATCTCCAAGATTCTCACCTTGAGGTTCGGGGAGTAAAGGCAAACCCCCGTTGTCTGGTTGCCTTGAAGTACAGCTCACAGTTGGCGGGAGGGGGTGATGGGACCCACACCCAGTCTACGCCTTGGGTCTTGTTGACATCTCGAGGTCAGCATCACATCTGCCCAGCTGAGCGAAAAGGTTGCACCATGTTGAGAGGTTCTTTCTCTTTTCCAACTTCACAGGAAGGCGCGATGCCGGAAATCCTTCCCACACAACAGCAGCTATTTCACCTGCTTGCCGCAAATTCCCCTCCTTCTCATCGCACAATATTCCTCTCTCACACAACCCTCTCTCACTTCTCACTCTTCATTATTGGTACCGACCAATTTTTGCGAAGAGCTACCTTTTTGTCTCTGCTTCTTACAAAATTCCATAACCGTCTTCTCTAGGAAGCGCACTTTTTTTCGGGAATCAGAACTCACTTAGGAAACATCGGCAAATCCAACTTGCTTGTTCAACTCGCTGATTTTTTCAAGGCTTCACTCGAGAATCTTAAAAGATCCAAGCACGAGCAGGCTTGTCAGTACGTCTAGGCCCTTACGACGGTCAAGCAATTTTTCGGATTCACAAGAGCACTTCTCTATTGAGAGCGCTATTGGAAAATTCGTCTCGAGCATAAAGTTTGTATCATCACTTTCGCATCCTCACATTGCTTCACCTTCACCTTCGAGAAAAGCTGAATATCTATCACCTGTTCGACGAACACTTTTGAGCGCTTGCCTCATCCCTCTCAAGTTCTGAGTTTCCTGCGACATCACATATAGCTGAAGAGGTTGCTCGCGCATCGAACATTCTTCATCAACAACAGTGATTGTTCCAGCCCATCAGCGATCGCCTTTATACGAACAAGCCGGCTATTTCATCCCACTTCTTTCATTCTTGCTTCAAGACAACCCATCTCTTTCAGCACAGAAAGCACAACGATCTCATCGTCGCAGAAATGACAGACAATCACGGGATCAAAGAGGTGAGATGTTTCTTTGTTGCTGGCGAATTCTGACATTGAGCATCATACTGACATTTCCCAGCGACCTCCCAAGCGGTCTCTTACACCTAACAAGGCCCTCTATGCTTCATTCAACGAAGCTCATCGACACATTGCTCCCCCGACTCCCGAGATTCCTATTGAGTTCGACGGACATCTAGGCGATGAAGAGCAGCTCACAGAGGAGCAAGTCGAAGACATTTTAAGTGCCTCTAACGAATCCTCTGCCAAGTCTCAAGACTCCAAGGATCAGAAAGTACCGAAGAACTTAGAGCTACTTGCCGAACCGGATGCATCTGGCCACCAGCACAAGTTCGACAAGCAAGCTTCGCCTTCTGCTGTCGAGTCCCAAATTCAGACGAACGACCATGACCGTCAAGGATCTGCCTCTCCAGACCTGTCGGATGGTGACAATGCCTTCATAGACTGTTCTCATTCGTCCTTTCAGGAGTCCAAGGAGCAGCATGACCGACCAGATTCTATCGATGATCCTTTCAACAGCCAGCATGCCGCCACTGAGTACCCAGATGCTTCCTCATTCTACCCAGAGGATGGTGATGACTTCAGTCTAGCCTCCACCGATACCGATTCAATGAACATAATCAAGGTTGAGCCAAAGTCTTCGCCTGTTTTGGCCTCTTCCCCTATTCTTTCTCCTCCAGTTGCAGCAAGTCCATCATGGCACACCGAGGAAGCGGACCAGTCTTCCCACATTGACGACGTCGTCAAGAAAGAGACCCCCTCTGGCTATTTCAACACTACTCACCTTTCTGGCTTGAACGGAACCCAATACCCCATCTTTCTTGATCACGAAGCTTTACAGCCAGGCAACCAGAGCAGCCACTTCCCTATCTTCATCGATCGTGGTGCATTTCCCCCTTTCTCAATCTCTACTGACCAGCCTGTTCCCACAATTGAGCAAGCACCTCAGTCTGATTCCAACTACGATGGGGACGCTTCTGAGTATTCTGACGACAAGATCACCTGCCAGGACAAAGGGAAGGCTCCAGTCAAGTTGTTGAACCCCTTTCATGCCTTCTCCAATGCATCTTCTCAAGCTTCGGATCACAATGTTGAGCAGTCTGAGCCTGGCAAAGAGAAGGTCTTTCTACGCCCCCATGTTGAGAAGGAAGTTTCTCGTGCTCTTCAACACGTCACTGGACTCAGCCAGCCATCCAGTGGTCTCATCGGCCGTGTTCGCCAATCGCATCTCCAGAGTTCACATCAGTCACCTTATCACAGCAACTCTGATCAGCAAAAGAACGACTTCTACCATGCACCAGCTATTCAGCCTAACTGGCAGATCACACAATCCGGCATCAAGGTCCCTGTCCCTGTTCCTGCCCCTTACACTGGAGATGAGATTACCATGCAAGCAACACAGCCCTACAACGCCATCAATCACACGCGAATGGCTACAATTGCCTCAGAGGACGCAGAAGAGCGCACTGGATTAGAGGGAGATAAAGACTGGCAAACTATCACTGATGACCGCGAGTACCCTACTGGCTTTATGGGCAGAGTCATGACTGGTAGCAGCATTGCCAACGTCTCAGATGCACTTTTGGTACAACATCAACAACAGAATTCTATCGCCCATCACAATATTTCTAACAAAGGCCGAGAACCCTCCACCACCAGAGCCAGAGCATGGTGGGAGAAATCTACTCCTCTACTGTCAATCCCGTCTTGTTCCGCCTCTCCTTCCTACCCATCACCTCCTGCGTGCGCATTGCAGAATAGACGGCGAATACAAGGTGACTGGGATGAGATCGAGCTTGGCCCTATGCCAGCTCCCTACCCAGACTTCTCTTGGGATCGTGTCCGAAACAACCGAGCACAGGATGACGAAGAGGCAGCACAGCCCAGTCGCAACGAGTTCGCTAATCTGCCCTTCCCCTTGGTCCCCCGTGAGGACGCGGCCAGGACTCAAGCTTTCCGTCGCGCCAGTGGCCTCGAGGACCATACTCTCTCCGGACAAATCGTCTCCCCTGGCCTGCCTTCTTCCTCAAACGGCGGTAGCCACGTCTACCCTCGCCCTGCCTTGAGAAAGAACTCTGCCAGATCCTTCTTCTCCCGCACTGAGAACCAAGGCATCGATCGCCGCACTATCTTCATTGGTAAGTCTATCGTCTCCGCATTTACATGCCCTACTGTCCTTTCAATATCTGTATAAAGCTCTCCTTCTCCCCTCCCTCTGCTGCTTTCTTCCTCTTCTTCTTCCCACAAACAACACTCTTCAAACCCAGGGTTGGTCACCCATTTATAAATAACCAACAAACCCTCCCCCCCCCCCCCCCCCCCCCCCAAAAAAAAAGACCTCGGCTCCAAACCTTTTCCGCCTTCTTTCAAGATCCCGTTCGAATCCCTGTTCGAATTTTGTTCGAAAAAAAAAGGCTCGATTTTACTTCGGGGGAGCAACCCCCTTGCTCGAAGCAAGTCCTTTGCTTTTCACTTTGTCAGCAAGAACTCGTTGGCTAACCTTACTTTTCTTCCAGATCGCCAACAACACCCATTTGGGTGGCCGACCCGCGAGTACTTCCCAACCCAGTACTCGTCGGTGTCGCGCCCCCAAACCGCCGACCAGGCGAGGGCGAGGAAGAGGATCTCCGTCCCCAGCAAGATAGCAACCGCCAGCCATCAAGCTGCGGCGGAGGCCCTCGCCATCGACCAGTCTGCGGGCTGCCGGGCCTCTCCCCACCTCTACTCCTCAGAGGTGATGGAGAGGTACCGTGCTCTCAGGGCCGTCCGTCAACTCGGCGGTCGAGGCACGGATACCGAGCTCGCGGACATGGCGGCCACCGTCCGGGACCAAACCCCCCTCCCGAGGGGTGCGGTCTGCCGCCAGGCGGTCTTCTACTACGCGGTGATGGGGGCGACCCTGTTGCTGCCATTCGTGGGGGCCGTCACCCTCGTCTGGTCGTGGGATCGGGTGTTGGCGGGCCTCACCGGTGGAGAGTGCACCGGCCTCTCCTTTCACCAAAGACGCAACCTGCGCATCATGCTGCTAGTCGGCATGGCGTTGTGGGTTGCGGCTTTCGTGGGGGGATTGGTCGCGTTCCTCTCTCTGCGCGGTTGAGCGCCGAAGTGTGTCCGGTTGTTTTTTTTGTGCTTTTTTTTCGTTTTTGTTTTTGTACGAGTATGTGAGTTTACCCTTGTCTCAACACCCAGTCTCTTGAACAGGATTCTAATTTGGATAGTAGACTACGACACCACGAGAAGTGGGGGGTCCCTGCCTACGGGCACACCCAGTTACGCCAACGTTTTCTGCGGTTTTGTTTTTGGGGGGCACGCAAGAAAGGAGAGATGGAGGGAGATAGGGGTGGGTGGTGTTGGTGGTGATGGTGGGCGGCGGTGGCCGAGGAGAAGAAGAACCCTGATTACAACCGGGGAAGCCATACAGAATGGTACAGAGCACTTAGGAATAAGACGTGAAGAATTTCAACGAGTTTGCTGATCACGGAGAGTACACATGTGGAACAATTTCTAGAATGTGCTCACTGTATTATAGGAGCAGCAACATGGTATCTAAACGCCCTAGCAACCGTCAAGGAAAACGAACGTACGCTCCTTGAAATTCTATGCACACATTTAACCGCGGCGGCGCGTGCTGGGACCCTTCTTCGCAGGCGTCGAAGTAGCCGAAGAGGACCCGGTAGAAGGAGCAGCAGGGATGGGGACTTTCTGCTTGCCCTTGGCCTTCTTGGAGGGCGCGTTCCAGTAGTACGCCATCTGGGACGCGAGGACGGCGTTGAGGAGGAAGCCGGCGATGAAGTTGTACAGGATGAGCTTGTCGTCGATCTCCTGGAGGGTGGTGAAGATGCGGGAGAGGGAACCGGCGAGGTAGTTGAAGACCTGGCAATTGCACATGTTAGCACCTGAATCTTCTGAAGGCTTCCCATGCGGGCTAGGAGTGATTTGACTTACAGCAAATGCGCTGAGCTGCCCGGTGCCACCCTCGGACCAAATCGCCAGAATCTGGGGAACCTTGCTCGCGACGCTCAACACACCAGCGCCAGCCTGCAAGTATCCCAACGTTTGCATATCCACCAAGCTCCCAGCAAACAGCGTTCCCAGTGCCACAGCCAACGCCGTCACAAAGACAGCAGCCAAGCTCGCGCGGCCGGTATAGTTGAGCACCAGGACGGTAATGATCACATTCTGGCCCATGATGAGCGCCGTCTCGCCGTAGGTGCTAAAGGGGAATTGGTTGCGGTAGTTGTAGGCCAGCGAGACGAGGTACGAGGCCGTCTCCAGCAGGTACGAGAGAACAGAGATGCCCTCGCCCGACTGCGACGACGTGAGCTTGCGAATCTGCGGCAGCTTGACGATGCTCGAGACGCCGACGATGCCGAGGCCGAGGCCCTTGGACAGGCCGAGCTTGATGCAGTCTACATCTTCGACGTTGATGTCCAGCAGGAGGGACTTGTAGCAGTGCTCACCGATGATGGAGACGCCGAGGTCGCGGATCGGGGCCGGGAGGTTGTGAGTGACGGGTTGGAGGGCGGAGCGGACGGCGTCCATGGTTGCGGCTGGGGTGTCTGGCGACGGGTAATACGGGTGAAGCTCGTTCTTGGTATTTACTTGGTTAAGAGTCGCGCGCCTTCAATTATCGCGTCGTCGGACTATATAGGGAGAGTTGCGACAGGTCCACTCGGAAGGGCAGAGTGGTGAAGTGAAGGGAAAAAAAAGTTAGCAGATGTTGAGAGCCACTCGGCGGACACGTTGAAGGAAGGGTTGAGGTCACTGTGAACCCTGAGATGGAGGCAAGGGGGCAGTGAATTGAACCAGTCGGTGAATATCAAGTGGGGAGCTTAGCTGCAAGAGCTGACCAATCTTAGGCCTGTGAAACGCTACCTACACCATCCCACGTCCTTCCTGCGCTGCATTGCCTGTCCGTTGAAGTCCCATTGAATCGCGAATGGACAAATTCCCAATTCGCCATCTGAACCAACTTGCGACACAAGACAGTTGTCGGCTTTCATTTGAAAGCCCTCTTCACACCCTGTCGAAAGTTTCCCGTGTACCGAAATCATACCCACCAAACGCCTAGAACCCATGAAGCCCATTTGCAACCCGAAATGCCAAAAAACAAAAACAAAAAACCCTTCGCAACGCCAGCAATATCCGCATATCTCGACGGTGACGGGAAAGCCGATCACTTGTTTCCCTTCCCACCATTCTGAGAGGCATTGAAGCTCTTGATAAGAGCAGCGCACTTGCCTAGATTTCCCTTTGGCTCCCAAGTATTCTGGCTCGAGCCGTATCCCCTCCACTTCACCATGTACATCTGCATCTTGGTCTTTGGGTCAACGCGTGCGCCAACAATCTTCTCGACGTCGTAAAACTCCTCGGAGTAAGTAGGAGAATCCGAGACACCCTTAGCGGGACTATTTTTGGTAGTTTTCTTCGGGCGAGCAACGCCTCGACCATGGGTAGTCGCAGCCTGTCATTGTGTCAGCCTCAATCCGGTCTTGAATTAGGTATACCGGTGCAAGTACCTTCTTTTTCTTCTCCGGAACTGCTTTCTCTATGGTAGAAGCACGGGTAGATCGACGAAGGGTCGTGGCTAAAGAACCATATGGGTTAGAATTCCGTTTCAATCCGGTGAACAACTCGTAAAGACCACTAGAACGCAACAGGTTCCTTCCACTCCCCAGCTTACCCTTGGTGACTGGTTCAGCTGGGACCGGTTTACCAGCCGGTTTCTTGGACTTGGCCGAGACAGCATTGAGAGCCTTTCTGGGACGACCACGCTTCTTAGGAGCTTGAACCGGCGGGGGGGAAGCATCGTCTCTCTCAGTATCGCTAGAACCATGGTCGTTGGGGCGACCTCTCTCATCAGAGTCGGACGCATCGAGGGGAAGCGCTTTATTTGCGGCAGGCGCGGCTTTCTTGGGCTTGCCAGTCCTGGTAGCATGTCGGCCGGCCGGTGAAGCGGTCTCAGGCGTGGCATACTGAGATGACAACTGGTTCTCAATCGAGGCTTGGACACTCTGGGAGGACTCAGCCAGAGGCTCTTGGCCCTCAAGCCGCTTGCGTCTTTTGCTAGCTTTGCTGGCGGCAGGTTGACTAGACTGGCGCTTTCTGCCGGCCGACTTCTCGGGGGCACCAGCCGGCTCGGCAAAGTCGGACTCAACCTTCGGGATTGGCTCGTTCTCATCCTCACTTTCGGCACTGTTGACTTTGCTGTCGACGATTTAGCGTGAACCAGAAAGCGTAGAAGGCGCCGATGACTTACGCTGCGGCCGAGGAAGCGGCGAGCTCGTTTTGCGTCATCGCGACCTCCCGACCTTTGAACACGAGCGGCGCCGACATCGTGGATGGCGATAGTAGTGACTATTCTCTCGAGGGGGCTATGGAGAAAGGAAGTCAAGTCGGGTATAGCGATGCGATTCGAAGACTAAGGAAGACCTGGTGCCTTGATCTAGGTAGGTACCTTAGGCTAGCCAGCGCAACTAGTGATGGGTGGGAAAGAGTTCCGATCCAGTCTACTTGAAAGAATGGTGTCTACCTTGGGGCGAGGTTGCTAAGTTGAAAGAATCACTCGAGGAAAGAGCCTCACAAATTTGACTGAGCCGAGGAAGGTCCGACCGAACGTCAGAAGCAATTTGGGTGAGTATTTAGGGAAGGAAGGCAGTTCCTCAGGAAAATAACCTTTCGGACGAAATTTGATATAAGGTAGGTATGGATGGATGGATACCTTCCTACCACTTAAGCCCAAGACCAGATTCTTAAGCTAAGGTGAGGTAAGTCCGGACGGCAAGCTGGTCACTTGAGGCAGTAGGCGCTTGAATTGGACTTTGCATCCCTAGACTGGACAATCCAAGTGAAAAAGATGCCTGAATGACCATGGTGAACAGGATCATAGGTAGATACGGCCTTAAGACAATTTCGGTCATACCTGCACTCCACACTCGCCTCAACATTGTGTCTCGAACAAGACGTTCATAAGGCACCGGAACCAGTCAATCTTGATTAAGTGTTTGTTTCTAGAAGGTACCTTACTGCGAGGGCGAGATGCAAGGGCGAACAAGAAGCCTGGGCGAAGAACAAAGAACACATCTTGAGGGATCTCTGCGGAGAGATGCTGAGCACAAGCGACTGCTCATAACTTGTTGTCGTCTTATCAACGGATGAGAACGACTGAGGTGTGCTGACCTCCCTCAGCTCGGCTCTGGAAACTCGGGATTGAGTATAGCTTAATGCATTCCTTTTGGAATCCTTCAGAGAGACTTGAATTTGGAAATGTCAGGCCTTCTGGGATGGAAGACGTCGTGAAAAAAGCCCCAAGCAAGGTAAGGTACATGGAAATGACATCAGGAGGCGGAAAGACAGCTAGCAGGACCTTCACTATTAGCAATACAGCACTGAATTGGAACGCCAGAAGATGTATCAAGCTGAGGTAGTCAATGATTACGCCAATGCTTGATGCACGTATGCTATTCTGCGACAAGTTCAGCCTGTCCCTATACTATGCTTCATCTTAATCGTCGAGTTCCTCCACTCGCTTGTCTCCAAAGTCATGAAGTTGCCCTGACCTCGCCGCCTGCTCCACAGGATTCTGGATGTCAACAATACCTGTCTTCTTGAGCCTAATGATCTGTTAGCATGTATCCGAGTCGCGGGGTAAGTGTAAGTGCCATCTTGCCTTTCAAACAGGACGTATAGTCTCTCTGCCTCTCTCTCCTTTTCTTCTTCCGTCATATCTGGGAGTTCAACGTGTTTCTCCTTGTCTACGAACTGTCCCGTAATGGGATTGACAGGCCGCTGCTCCTCGCCCGTGCTGAACGCTTCAGCAGCACTAGCTGGGATGGGGATGTTGTTCTGGAACAGGAAGCCTGATGCAAAGCCGTATCCAACGTTCTCAACAAACTTCGAAGCATCCTTGTCTGACATGTCGAAAAGAAGATGGGAGATGGCCTCCCGAAGATGGGGAGTCAGTGCATTGGTGGAGTTGCGCAACAGGCGTGACGTCAATGAGGTGCCGCGGCCGAGAACCTCCTTTCTGTCCTGCTCGGTGGGAAGAAGCTTCTTCCTCATAGACGTCTTGGCACTGTCAGGAGCGCCATCGTGCACACGCCGCAAAACACCTATCAGCGGCGTTACTAGCTGCTCCAATTCATTATCCGGATATGCCTTCAATGCTGCGTCCAGTATCTCGATAAAGCGATCTGCCACCTTGGCAGGTTCGCTCTTGGGATAAAGAGCCCCCTGAACATCTTTGTCCTCCAGCTTAAGATCCAGCAGAGCGTTGACAAGAGTGTTGAATGGCGGGTCAAGCGGTTTGTTGGATGGGATGTCATGCTTCCAAAGTAATGCAATGATATGTGGAATGGCGCCTGTAAATGCTCCCACTTCAGAGGGGCAGAAATGGGAGACGTTGAAAAGTAGCTTCAGAGTCTCGTTGAGAGCCATGTCTTCCATAGGATCGGCTGATACATGGGTTTGGGAACTTCCCAGGCGCTTTTGGTGCTTGGAAAGATTCTCAATAACAATATCGGCCAAGCGGTGTTTCTGGATCAGAGCGATGAGATCGATTTTGGTTCCGTAGGTGGTCAAGAACAAGACTCTGGAGACAAGAAATTCATCGTCGAAGCTGTCATTTTTCAGTCTCCTGCAAGCTTGGTCCTCGTAGCCAAGGTCAACAAATGTTTGGCGGGCCTTAGGATTCAATAGCATCGTGTTGGCCAAAACCCTCAGAGCTGCCCTTGCTGTGGAGTTGGACGGGCTATGGAAGGAATGTCTTGTGAGCATCTCAATACCCTGTAGTGTGTTAGTGGCAGCAGCACTCGTCGAGGGCAGATATAATTAATGACCTCTGGTGTAAAGATAGGATCCGCGTTGGTTGGGTCCCGCCCATATATCTTTAGCTCTTCAAGAGCAGCATCACGCTCTTAGATATATTTGTCAGCTTCACGACCGAAACAAGCATTGCATAGTGAATCACACTTACGATGAGGGAGCAGGGTGGGCTTTTTCAGATCGTCTTCCAATTTCTTCATAAGAGCAGTGACGGCCTCGAGTTTTGCTGAAGAATCGTTAGTGACACAAGTTCATACGCCCGGACGGGTCGTCGGGGATCCCACCAGGGCCGGCGAGGTTGGCCTGCATGGCGAGGGGCTGTGACATGGTGCGGCGGGCAGAGCTGTGCCTGTAGTCGGGATCGGCAATGGACCGGATCTTGGGCGAGCCCGGCCGAGAGAGGCTAGGGGCACTTGATTTGCGGCAGACCCTACGTTCCTTGACGCTCAGCATTCTCTTCAATTTGGACGCCATGATGGGCCGCACACACTTCGGATAGAAGTGTGAGATGCAAAGACAAGGTTGAATTACCTTTTGGGGGTGACAAGGAGAAGGATGGTCACTTCCTGCAGTGGCGAGAAAAGGATGTGCGGCTCAACGGATGTGATTGTGGCACTCGATCTCGAATTCAAGTGGCTTGATGTCTGACAGACCTCGACGATTTCGGCCTACCTTTAGGTTCGGTAGTGCGTCGACCACAAAGTTGTAAATCTGTCGAGCTTCGATTCGTGTGGGTGATGTAAGCCTCCGAACACCTGGCTAACCTTGTTGGATGTGCAAGGTAGGAGATATTGTTAATTAGTTGGTGTTGTCGTTGGTTAAAGTGAAGATGTGGCTGGGATGGAATGCAGAGGCATCTGGCTGAGAAAGGGGAATGAGCCAGAAGACTGACTGACTATGAGACAGCAGCAATCCTTCCTTCCCTCCACCGTCGTTACACAAGAAGAGGGGCGCTCGGTGACCGTCAGGCAGTTGGCAGTTGACGCGAGCGAACAGTCCGTGCTCTTGCCGGGTGTGCAAGCCACACCTGTGGCAGGAGTGCCTGTCTGACCTTAGTAAGCATTGTGATCGGAGCTGTGGGGCACTTTCCATGTTGCTGTGGTGCGGAACATTTTGGAGGGCAGCTTCAGCGGCGGAACTGCGAAAGCATTGGATGCGAATTTGGAGAGTGCGGTGGATGCCATTCCATTCTATTGCCCCACTTTGTGACGGTCGGCGGCCCAACCCCCGGGCAACCAGGCGGCACAACGACTGGGGTACACGACATGCACGGACCACTTGTTTAAGTGGTTTTCGCGCTCAACTCGCGTTTTTACGTGGAATCGTGGACGTGTTTAAGCATCGTCAAGCGCTAGCCAATTAACCAACCCGCTCCACCCTTATATCGAGAAGAGAAGGTCGTGCTGCGAAAAGTCGTGTACTTGCGCGAACTTTGGTACAGGTACGGATACCTGACCAGACAACCCCGACCCCGTGTCATAATCCGTACACGGCTTCGCTCCTTTGGCTGTCTCCATACCTCACTCTCGTTTCCGCCGGAAAGCCCACCTCTTCCCGTCGCTCTCTTCCATTTGCATAGTGAGCGAGATTTGTACATTGCCTTTGCTTTTACGGATACGCATCGCCATTTCCTTCGTTACCCCCTGGCCGGACTTCGACGCACTTATGCGCCAGTCGACATAGAGCAGAGCTTGCCGGAGTCTGGTCTTCCCTTCCCAATCGACGGGAACCTCTCCGCAACCATGGGATCTGTCGAAGTTGTCTCGAGCCGACTAGAGTCGTTACCGCCTCGCCCACCGACACCACCTCGCGAGACGAGCCTAGCTGCTGATGCCACCACCTCGAAGCATCTCCTCGTTCTCCCTCCCTCCTCAGACCCTCGATCAAGTCTCCAGACTCCACCGAGTGTATACTCACCACTTTCCGGAGCTGACTCCACGAACCCGAGCGGACGAAGAGCAAGGAAACGTGTGGGCTTTTCTGCCAAAGCACAATACAACGAACCCCCCAACTACCCAGGCGTAGCTGTCGCCAAACCCCGATCATCACCCTTGTCGGCGCCGTCGTCGACTCAGCCCAAACCTGTCAAGAGCATCCTGAAACAAACCTCTTCACCGAGTCCTCTGAGCTCAAGCGTCAAGCCAGACAGCTTGACGACATCGGCAAATATATCAGACATGTTGGAGTCAACGGTGAAGCAGCTCGCCGGAGCAGACAGGGACTCGAAGCGAGATGCCTACACAACACTGGTCATGACGCTGAAGACGTCCAACAACCTCCCAGACCGAATCGCCTTGCAGTCTAAGATGGGACTCTTCGTGCAGTTCACCCAGCGAGACATCACCTCCAAGAATGCCACCAGCGGAGGGCCAGATGCGCCCCTTGTCAACAACGCTCTTTCTCTCCTCGCTACTTTCTTGCATTTCCCAGCCATTGCCTCGACGATACCCAACGATTTCGGCATTTTCTTTATAGACCACTGCATTCGATCCTTCGAGGATCCTGCAACACCCAAAGACGTTGCTCGGCATCTAATGCAAGCTGTCGCTACGCAAGACTTCTCCGCAAAGGTCTTGACTTCGGATCGCGTCCGCCGGTTGATGAACGCTCTCCATAATATCGAAGACAATCTCAAGGGAAAGAGCATCGTAATGTCTCGAATTCTCATTTACAAACGTCTAGTTCAACAGTCACGCCAGTTGATGGTGCTTCACTCCGATTGGCTGAATGACCTTTTTACCGACATGTTGAGCAGGGTCAAGGAACTGCGATCTGCTGCGATATCTCTTGGTCTCGAGGCGGTCTACATATTTGGGAAGGAAAAGTCGTTGTCTCGGAAGGTGATGGAACTTTTCGATACATCCATTGAAGAGATGAAGTTCGCAGAGTACTACCACCAACAACTGCGAACCATGGCGAAGGACAAGGACGACAGGCAACTCACTGCTTCAGTTCCCAAGATCTGGAGCGTCATAATTGGCTTACTACGCTGCCCTCTCGACAAATGGCAATTCTTCAACCAGTGGCTACAGCTCATTCAGATGGGTTTCAATAACAGCGATCACCCTCAAACCAAGCAGGAGGCCAACTTTGCATGGAACCGCTTCGTCTGGTCTATGCATACAGAAGGCCAATCTTTCGTCAAGCTTCTCCCCATACTTTACCAGCCACTAGGTAGCCAGTTGAAGTCGAAGTACACGAACAAACACACGCGAGAGGTCGTTTTCGGCAGTGTCTGCAACCTCCTCTACTACACCTTTAAGCCGGGTACGAACGTTGCTCTTCTCGATACCTACTGGGACATTTGCGTGAAGCCCTTAACAGAGCCACCAAAGGCGCAAGCAAGGAACCCCGACGCCGTTGATGAGCATATGCGACAGATGACACTCATTCTCACCGGTCTGTTCGACTCGACAACACCTCGCATTTGGAGGGAAGAGCGCATTAGAGAGACGACTCTTGCCCGGCCCAACGAGCTTCCAGCTATCGATCCCAAGTGGCTTCGACGCAATTCCGCTCGTGTGTTCCAGACATTGGAGCCTATCATGGATCGACACTTTCTTGAGCTCTCGGACAAGAACAGTCAAATCCATCGCTTATGGCGCACTCTGGTTGGGGCTATTGTCTCGGCCGCCTCTAAGGAGATCAAGGTTTCCGTCGACACTGCGGGCTTCATTTCCCAAGTATGTGGTCTTTTGCTGAAACACTGGGAGAATGGCTTGGCGGAGATTGAAGATCCGACTCCTGAGATGGCGAGTAAGTTCCTGGACAGCGCTCGTGAGCTCATCATAGTCGCTGTAGAGGCCATGGGTCTCCGGCCTTTTACCGAGAAGATGATCTCTCTTGGTCGTCTTCATACCTTCACACCTGTGTCAACGCCGTCTCACAAGCCCGCAAAGAATGCTGGTGACGCTCGGACTCCGCTGCAACATCTGATGGGCCTGGTCTCTCGGCTTCCCCCGGGTATCCCCGACGGAGAGGAGTACGTTGAGTTCTTCAAGACGCTCTTTGCACCTTTCTTGGTTCAGAAGTCAGCAAACTCTCAATCCGAGTTGGCACAGGAGATGCTGTCGGTCACTCCGATTTGGTCGCCGCCGGTCAATCGACTTCCCTACGCACCATTGGTCTTCGCTGCGGAGTGTCTATTAGCAACCTTCAGCTCATCCCAAAACAGCGCACAAACAACTAGCTCAACAGGCCAGCCCTCACTCGGTCATGAGTACCGCACCGTAGTGCGTTTTCTGGAGCGAGGCTGGAAGGAGACTCCTAATCTACCCTGGAAGCCCTGGTGCTCCCTCTTCTTGCAGCTGTCGACCCGTTCTAGCCAGGAGACTGGTGAAGCTGGCCGGGCTTTAGGCACCATCGAGCCGCTTGCCAAGGTCATCCGGGAGTCTATCCCTGCCGATCATACCTCTCCTTTATTCGCGAAGACACTTCTAGCAACAACCGAACTTCTCCATATTGCCAGCCTACCATTAGACAGGCAGGCATTGGAAGCGGCCCGACGCCGATTGTGGGGTACAGCAGTCGCGGGACCTAGATCGTCCTCTTTCGATCCGTTCGACAACTTTTATAAACTCGTCAACGAGCTGATGGAACGACTTTACGAGGCTGGCGAGCATGGAGACTTGAACGAACATGCTACATCTCTTCTTAAGGAATGTGGCTCATTCCTTGCACGCTGCAACCCGGAGCTTGTTTGTAGAACCGTGTCCAACTTGGAGAGTGGGCTTGCCATGTGGATCCGGGATTCGCAGGGTATTCTCAAGGCTCGCCAAAGCCCTGCCACGTCTGAAGCTGTGAGTCTTCATGCTGAAAGGAGAAATCATTTTACTGACAAAGAACAGGTTATGCAACTCTGGGAGACTGTTTCAAAGATCATTTTGCCCAGCGGCAAGGCAGAAGAGGTCCAGCTCGACAACTTCGAAGAACTTGTCTGCGCTGCCTTTGAGAGCAAACACCGCCATATTGTCAACTCAGTTGCAGAGGCGTGGAATCGGATTTACGAGAATGCGGAACGAATACAATACCCTGAACATCTCAAGGCCGTCTTGCTAGCCGTCCAGCCGGTAGTAGACATCGTTCTCCCAGGCTTGGAGATTCCCAGTGTGGCGTCTACAGGCCAGAATCGCTCGTTCGTCGAATCGCAGGACGACATTGAGATGCTCATGGCATCCTCCACACGTTCATCTCGTAACAGATCTCAGCGACCGGCTACATCCAACCAATCATCGCCTCTCAGCTCTGTCAAGCTGTCGCTCTCTGCGAAGAAGCAACTGGACGACACTACCCCTAAGAAGGGCCGTGGTAGGCCCCGGCGTAGTGCAGCAGCCAAAGCGCGATTGAGACATGACGATTCTCAAATTCAATTCGCGCCTATTGAGAAGTCTCCTTTGAATCCAGCAGTCAATGCCGAGTCTCAAGTCCTCACTGAACGCCAGAAAGAGATCAGGGAGAGGCAAAAGGATACCGCAGCCCTTTACCCAGAGTTGCGGTCTAGCCCTCAACAGCAACAACTACAGGTTACTGATGATAAGTCGGCCGCTTCTAACAAGGTCATCGAGACCCCCAAGGATGTGACGCCTAAGCGCAACGCTAGGTACGAAGAGTTTGTCAGCTCGACCCCGACACCTCGTCGAGGCCAGACATTGGCTATGGCAGACAATGACCAGGAGATGACGGATCCTCCCTCTTCACCCCTAGAGCCCCGACCCTTCCCTCTGCTGCCTCAGATCAAATCCCGATCTAGCAGCCGCAGTGAGCTAGAGAACTGGCAATTTAGCTCCTCGCCAGTATCTGGCTCTCCATCTCCCGATGCTGTCGTCATGACTGATGAGCCTACTGAGCTCAACTTGGCCGACAGCGCAACCTCCCAGCGTGTCTCTCAAACAGGCAGCCCGGACCTGTCAGCAGTAGATGACTCGTTCCAGATGGCCACCTCAAATACCGTGGAGGAGCCGGAGCTGCCACCTCCTGCTTTCGAGGCCGCAAAGGGGACACTGCAATCCGAGCAGTCTCAGCAGGAAATCGCGGAATCATTTGCGGAAACTGTTCCTGGCCCCACGCCATCAACTCCCAAGAATAACCGAGTGACTGGCGTAGAAGAACCCAGATCTGGTCAGGAAGTCTTCGTCGACGCGCCCTCAAGCCCGCAGCCCACAGTACTTACCAGGTCCGCCTCGCGCGCTGCTGCCATCAAGGATCGCTCCTTTGAAATGAGTGACGGGGACGAAAACAGCATGTTGAGACTTGTTGTCGAGCTCGACCGTAGGCGGTGCGAACTCCCGATCAACGATTACCCTGCCATTTCCCCTCCAAAATCTAATAAGGGTCCCAGAAGCGCCAAAAAAGAAAAGCCCGCCGTGCTTGACTGCATCACAGTCCGAGGTGAAGATGACGAAGAGGAGGAGGACGGAGAAGAGGAAGAAGACGAGCCAGCGGAGCTTGCCCTCTCACAGGTCGAGACAAGAGCCCGTAAGAGCAAGTCCCGTTCCCCCGGAAGACCCTCAACTCCTGTAACTCGGTCGGCCGCTTCATCCCCGGGCAAGTCAGCCAGGAAGCGAAAGAGGGGCGATGCTCCCAACCACGATACTCGCCATAAGAAGAGGAAGTCTACCGACGCCTCCGAGATTGTCGAGTCGTCTCAGATCACCATGTCCCCGGTGCTTGGGGAGGAAACCCCCCGCCGTCGTCGCAGTCAACGCATCAACGCTAACGATAGTCCTTCGAAACACTCCGTGGACCTGGATGCCGAAGTCAACTCCCAACTGGTTAACGAACAGGAGGAGGCGGATTTCCGAGCAAGTCAATCATTCGAGGAGCCGGAGCCGGAGCAGACGATGAAGACAAACGAGACAGGAGAAGACTTTATGGACGTCGATGTCGCTGATGTCACTGCTATCATCGACGCTGCCGACGCTCCTGTCGAAGGAACCACCAAGGATGTGAATATGATTGACAACCTGAGCGACGTCCTCGCTAGTCTTCGCTCTGTAGCGTTGTCACGGGAAGAGGTGTACAAGATGGAGGACATGCTCATGGACATCAAGAGAGAGCTCTTCGCCGCCGAGGCTCGTGGTCGGGTATAATCAGAGTTGTACTACCATCAACACCGACGCGGAACACCAACATCCGGAAACACCCCACGACTTTTGTCACAATTCCCTTTTATTTCTTGATTACTGACCTCGCGAGGACATTGTCAATACTCCTACGCCACGCCACACATACATACACATTCACGACGACGATGGGTGTCTGCAACACCCGCCATGCATTATCGGCGCAGATCTTTGGTTTATGAGTTGAGGACGAAGAAGCAGAAGAAGGAAAGAAAAAATATAATTTGGGTTTTCTGTTAACTTGTTCTTGTATGGAAACTGGGTATTGGGAAATTCATGGCATGAAACTGGATTGCAGTCGGAGGAGGGGCATGGAATGAGGAGAGGGAGAGGAGAGGACACACCGTCCTCGACTTATCACGTATTAGATTGTTGCAAACGCATCTGGAGGTTCATCGCCGACCAGGATAATGAAGAGAAACAAGCAAAAGCAATAATGAAGAACCCATTATGGCATATCATTCACTTTACGTGTCCGTCCACTTTGAGATTCTGTGTGCCGTATCAATCGTGATGTATTCAAAAGGGGTAGTTTCCGGGCCTGCTTTCCCTTGCGCGCGCCTGCTTGTTCATGATAACTTTCGGCCTTACTCTCCACGGTTGGCCGTCTAAATATCCCTCTAGCTAACTTTGATATTTCTTCCTTGGGTAAGTTTGTCCCGAGATTTTTCAGTTATTGCTTTCCCCTTCTTTAAGTCAACGTGACTTGAACCCTGCTTTCTCACAGCCTTCTCCTCTGCGCCCACTGACTCTTCTCATGCCCCTGGCCTCAGGCCGAGTTCGCCGTAATGACCTGAGCACCCTCAAACGCATCACCGGGCTCGAGCTTCTGCCACTCCTTGACGGCGCCGGGCTCCACACACAGCATGTTCTTGTAGCCGTCCTTGGGAGCAAAGTCGGCGATGCCTTGCGCCTTTTCGACCCAGGGGTTCCAGACGACGACGTTGTCGAGGTTGTCGCGGACGACGGAGAATATGGGCTTGCCGCCCTCGAGGACAGTGACGGGGGCCTTGGGGCCGCTTGTAGGGGTGTAGATGCGGTCCGTCTCTTGGGTGATGCTGATCTCGCCGGACTGGGTCTTTGAGGCGCCGTTGTCGACCTTGTCGGTGTAGGCGGCGCCGTCGAGGCCTTGCACTGAGATCTTTGTGATGTCCTGTGATATTGACAGTGGGTTAGCTTACGGACTTGGAGTATAGAACTTTGATGGTGGGGGGGAGACGACGTACGTTGACGCGCAGGTAGGTGTGCATCAGGACCTGGCAATCAAAGGCCTCCTCGCCCTCGTTTGTGATGACCAACGACGTCGACAGCGTCTCGCGGTCGAGCGATACGCTGTAGATGGCGCCAAACTTGTACCCCCACTTGGCCTGGGTCTCGGCGTCGAGGTTGGCCGAGGACAGGCCAAAGTCGAGCTTGACAGAGGACTCGGAGCCGGCGGACCCTTCGCTGGTGGACTTGCCGAGGAACTCCCAGCGCGAGCTGCGCGCGAAGCCGTGCTGGCTCAGCTTGGCGGTGGGCGGGTGGGCGTCGGAGGGCAGGCCGAAGACGGGGAAGACGAGAGGGATGCCGCCGCGGACGGGCTTGGAGCCGTCAAAGACGGTGGACTCGGAGAGCCAGAGGCGGTCTTGGCCGGCGGCGGATTTCCACGAGAGGACGGTGGCGCCGTGGAGGAGGACCTCGACGGACTCGCCGGTGGGGAGGGTGGCGGCGACGCGCGAGTTGTTGTGGGTGATGTCGACGGTGGCCTGGGGCGGGAGGCCGGGCGTGGTGGCCAGGGCGGTGGGCTTGTTGGGCCGGTCAACCATGTTTGCTGCTATTTCGCGAAGGATGTAGAGGTTGAAGGTAGGTTGGGGGGTGGGGGGGTTATAGATGTTTAGAGAGAGACGGAGAGCGTTGCTGTTGTGTGGGACAATGCTTTTCTGAGGTATGTTCGCGCGGGGTAGGATTCGATGTCGTTTGTTGAGCGAAGAGTATAAGAGATGCGGGGGAGCTACTCTTGAGCGACGGGATTGGTGTGAAAGTTGTAAACACGCAAAAGGTTCTACTCGAGATGGAGGAGGAGAGGTTGTAATCGGGAGGAAACAGTTCGGGCGTTGGTGGAAGTTGGGTACAATGCAACAAGCAACAATCGGATACAATGGCAACGGGTGGATGCCGGGTGCCAGAGGTAGCAAAGCAAGTGACAAGGCCCCAGCAGATTCCAAAAAAAAAGTCGTGTGTAAGCAAACGTCAACGGGGGGTCTGTGTCTGGTAGGTAATGTTAGTCAGGCACAGAAAAGTACCTTGAGATGCTTACATAGGTCAGTCACCTACCTACCTACCTACCTACCACTCGTAGGTCGCGGAGGGGGAGGGGGGAGGTCGGTCAGCTTGCTGTTGTCTGCGTTTGAGGGGGAACCTGTGAGAGATGGGGGGGGCACCCGGAGCTGGGTGAGGGGGGAGGGGGAGGGGCAGCCCTGTCTAGCGTGTTGAAGGCGTGGAAAGGGTGCCCCGCCTGGGAGTAAGGCAATGGTTGCCCGTTCCGTCACGTCTTCCCCACTTGTCATCGTCACATACAGGAGGCAAGGGCCAGCATCCGTAAGGTACCTTGCGAATAGGAGCTCTTACAGTCTGTACGGAGTACCTGCTGCTTCTGCTAGCATGAATGATGAAGTGCTGTTGTGAAGGAGAAGCTGCGACCAATCGCACGCGGGGGATCTTCCCAAGCTGCGGCATCTCTGGAGCTCCTTTTTGTTTGTGAATCCGAGAAAGGGGTTAATTTTGCCCCCTTTCTTCTCTTTCATCTTCTCATTAGGTACTTGAAGCTCTTGAAGCCTGGAGGTAGCGAAGCCACCACACCCCCATTTTTGACCCGCCTGTCATTCTGAAACGAGCTTCATCCTCAACCAAGCTCCCCTCGACTCCCCCCTGTTTTGCCAAAGCCTCGGCAAACAACGACAAAACGAACATCTGTACACTTTTTGTATGAGTTATAGAGATCGTGATAGAAGCAGTCCACTCGGGTCGCAGCCGAATCTATGTCTCTTTGTGATCCTAGAAGCATGTAGTCATCAGTCATCCTGCTCAATCAGAGTAGATTGATTTACTTTTTGAGAGAGAAAGTTCTTCTCGGCCGAAACACATCAGGGGGCAGAGAAACTGGAACGAAGCAAAGAATGGATCATCGGAGCTCCCGTTTGGTTCTGTGGAGATTGAGAAGGAGGGAAAAGTATCAAGGGTTCCCGAATCCCAACCAAGGGCCCCGATGAATTGGGTTTCTAAGCTTCGGGTGCATATTGCTTGCTGGCCGACCAGCCGACATTGGTACCTGCTATGGTTAGGTCATCGTGGATGAACACGAGCTACCTTGTTCTTTAGCAATGGCCAAGGCGAACCATATCTTCGTCATCCATGATCCACGGCTTAGACCACCAGATGTTGCACACGATTCAAGGCCGGCCATCGAACGGATGAACACATGAACAGTGAGTGTAACAAGTCGTGTGAATAACCCTTTACCCATATCTATCAACGAAATACAAACTCCCAACAACAGGGATAATAATACAACAACCAACTCATGACTTTTGCACCTTGAACCCAATACTATCCCGATCGTCCCTCACAACCCGGCCCCATTCCAGCAGCAACCGAAACAGGTAAATCTCCATATCCTCCCTCCGCAGCGCCTTGTCCACCCACCGCGCCCCCTGCGTCGCGATCCACTCGGCGTCCTCCCACCGCGCCTCAAAGTCCACCTCCCGCCCGTTGATCTTGCCGCGGCCCTTCAGGCCGACAAAGTACGCCACCGTGCTGTGCAGCGCGTGGAACCGCGTGTCCACGGGCACAAAGTGCAGCCACGGGATCAGCCGCTCCGAGTACCACTCCCCGAAAACCGAAGACATGAACGGCACGCTGCCCGGCGACCGGATGGTCCGGAGCATCTGCGGCGGCGGCGCCGTGTCCTCGTCCAGTAGCATAACGTAGCGGTGGTCAAGGGGGTCTTCCTCCCCGGAGGTGGGCGGCTTGAGTCCCAGCTCAGCCTTGGCCGCCGCGCAACCCGGCGTGCGGTGGTCGCACGCGTACTCTGCGATGCCGATATCGAACGGGAGGATGGCGTTGGCCTCCCGGGCGCGGACAATCTCGTACGCGTACCAGCTACCCTTGGACGGCGCGCCGAGCATCATCGTGACGTCGTCCGCGGCCGTCGCGTTGTTGACAAGGTGGACGAGCCGGTGCTTGTGGTTCCCGCGCAGCGCCTCGTCGCTGATGGGGCTCTCGCCAATCGTGCCTCGCCAGTACACGCTATCCTTGCGCTGCCGAAAATCCTTTTTGTGTTCCGGCTCTTCGTCCGCGAGCGGCATCAGCGGTAAAAGGATGTCGTTGAAGCCGTCGGCTTTGAATCGGCCAAAGATGGGCAGGAGCTCCTGTAACGGCTTGATTGGGGGCGCCGTCGTGTGGAAGCTGTGGAGGCGGGTCAGGTCTTGCTGGTCGCAGAGGCTCTTTGATTGCGGATAGTTCCACATGAACTGCTCGTCTTCGTGCCATTTGACGCAGGAGGTGCAGAAGTCGCGGACGTTCCAGTGAAGTCCTGACCTTCCTGGGCTGTTGGTCGGGCACACGGAAGCTTCCATGTCCCGCCACGCTTTAGTCGATTCGTACATCGCCTGCTTGGACTGGGGAATCGCCGGAGAGCCTCCCACGGCCTTCAACTCTGCATTTCTCTCAACGTTGCCATCGGGAGATAAAGTCTCACCAGTAACTTCAGTTGAAGCATTTTCCATCGAACGTGACGAAAGAAGCTTAAACTTTTGCTTCATTCCCGTAATGGTATACCTGTGGAGCTCAGACCACGGTGTTAGGACCCGAGGCTGGTTGCTTAGGTTGATGGGCAGCTTCATGTCAGATAGATGCTCGACAAAGCCTCCGATCATGGTGACGAGTTCATCCAGGGCCTTCTTGTTCGCGTCATCACCCTCGTAGTTGTGGGCAACCTGTTTGTTCTCGATCGTAACCATGGCGATATGGGGCTCCTTATGTACCCTCTCATTGCAGGCTTGCCGAATCGTCTCCGGCTTGATGCCCCAGAACGGAAGTACGTCGCTCTCCATTTGCTCAAAGTGGTCGATAATGACAGACTTTCGAGCTTTTGCGAATTCATACCACTTGTCAAAGTTGGGAGGCGGGTCCCTCCCGTAATGCCGCTCATGATACACTTCGACAGCGATGTTCAGGTTGTCGCTAGTCATGGCATGGCGCATCCATCGATCGGATTCGACTCTGACATCGTAAATGAGCCTATTTAGCGGATGCTGCTTTTCTGAAGCTGACTTCAGAAGCCCGTAGATAGTCATGCCGACGAACATGGAGACCATGAGTACGAGAATTAATGCTCTGGGGATGAAGAGGAGCGAGCGGACGTTGGTGCTGTATAAGAACATGCTGTAGCCGAGTATCAGGAGGTACAGAGGCCCGATGGCGCTCAGTCTGGATTCCATCTGCCATTTGCCGATATGCATGATGTTCTGAGTGGCAGCCGTGAGGCCGCAGATGAAAGTGATGATACTAGTCGGAGTGACAGGATTTGTCTCGTAAACGAGGATACTCAAAGACGTGATGAGGACCGCAAAAGCGAAGCTGTCGATGAAGATGTCAAAGAGGTACAGAGAGTCGATCCCGCTGAAAGAAGCCGGATATCCCTCACTAGCGGAAACGAGGGGTGAGATGAGGATCTGGAAAATTTTGATAAAGATCCCCGAGAGAGCTAGAATGGTGCCCAAGGTCCTCAGGCGGAGCTTCGTTGTTTTGGTCCAAGCCAGGATCCGCCAGAACAGAGAGACGATGACCGCGTCCAAGAACAGGCCCAAGAGTTGGAAAGCAAGAGTAGTCATCCGGCTGTCCGACAGAGCAGAACAAAAGAAGGTTGACCTGGGATCCTGCGAGATGGCTACAAAAGTCCCGTAGCTGAAGAGGCAGGCACTTCCAAGCGCCAGCGTTCGGGAGCCGTTGGCCCATACTGCAATGTCGTCGCTGATACTTGCCCAAGGGTCTTCCTCAGGAGGTGGTGGCCGGGCTCTTTGGTAGTAGAGAACATGGTAGAGTACCAGGTAGATACATAAAAACGACTGTTGGCACGTGTCAGTCTCGTCGTTCATCTAGTGATAGAGGCATGTTCGCAACTCACTTGCACTCCCGGCACAGAGCACTGCAACTGGGTGGTCACACGATGAAAGACCTCGAGGCGGAGAAATATGCAAAAGATGAGCAACGGAGCAAAGTAACGCCGCGGTCTGGCGGGAACCGTCTGCTCAAAGGTGCTCTTGGAGCCCGCGCGCTCATCTGAAAAGTGATATTAGCACTGGCTGTGGGAGGATTTACTTGAGCATTCGACAAAGCATACCGAATCTTCCGTCCGCGCCGGGGAGCCATGCGGCGAGATAGCTCGCCAGCCATGTCAGGCCTCCCGATAGCAGAAGTATGAGAACAGAGGAGAGGCGTGGATACTCTGGAACATCATTGCGTCAGCGAAGAAGGCTTCTTCCCGTATCCCACGTGGTGAACCGGGGAAACAAAAAGTCTTGGCAACCCGGCCCGTACCGATTAGAGAGTGACCCTCAAAGTTGGAAGAGATCCAGAGAAAAGAACCGACAGCACTGAAAACGAGTCAGAATTGAGATTAAGCAGTGTCTGGAAGAAATTGGGCGCATTCTTACCACACCGCCGTCAGATGTATCTGCGCATCGCGTGCCATCGAGGGAGACTTTCACCAGCCCAAAGTCTGGGTGGTTGTTCGACTTCACAACGCAGCCACAAATGAAATCATGCG